TTTCATCCAGAACTTTCTGTGCATCTGGTATATTGTCACATAAACTTCAACTTCCTTATAACATGCCTATTTTACAAAATTATGCCAGGCAATGTGGGTAGCTGAGAGGGTAGGCAGGGGCCGAACAACTTCTCAAGGGTATTCCACAGCAGATCACAGAAGGCTGGACCACTGCCAGTTTCTGGGGAAACCAGGACTGAAGGGATTGGCAGTGGACTGAGAGGCCACTCAAGGGGCTGACCTTTAGGAGTATGTCTATAGTCAGAGTACAAGTCGGCTAGGACTACCACATCCAAGCGCACAGACTGGGTGGCTTAAACAACAAAAATGTATTTCCTCACAGTTCTGGAGGCTGGAAGTCCAAGATCAAGGTGTCAGTGGGGTTGGCTTCCTTTGAAGGCAACTCTCCTTGGTTGGTAAGTGGCATCTCCTCCGTGTGTCTTCACATAGTCTTCCCTGTGTGTCTGCATCATCATCTCCTCTTCTCAGAAGAACTCCAGTCTTAGTGGATTAGGGCCCATGCATGTGACCTCATTTTACCTGAACCCTCTCTTTAAAGGTCCTATCCCTGAATATCACCACCTTGTGAGGAACCAGGAGTTAGAACTTCAACCTAGCAAAGTGGGGGGACATAATTCAGACCCTAACAGTCAGCAATAGAGAAAGAGGGAGAAAGGAGGTATGACTGTGCTATGGAGAAATGAAAGCAGACTCAGCCTTTACAGGGGAAATAAATTTCATCCGTGTTCCCTCATATCTAGAATTCCCTACCTTTCTTTCCTGGTCTCTCCATTCTTTGACACGAGCTCCAATCCCGTATCTGTTCTGAAGCCCTGCTAATCGTCTCAGTCCCAATGGTCCCTCTTGCTTATCCCAAATACAGAGCACTTCCTATCTATCCTACCCATCTGGCCCTTCACCCTACGTGGCCCTTGGGGCAGTTCTTGATGCCTTCCACATTATCGAATACGAGGCCTCATCTTACACCATCCCTGTGGCTTGCCTAGTTCACACTTACCTTCTGTCAGTTCTTCCTAGGAGGCATACCCCTTCCTGTGTAGGTCAGTGCCTTTGAAATATTCTTCCCCTCTGCCTCTTCCCTGCCCAGCCCCCATTCCCTAATTAATATCATTTCACCCTTAAGATCTCAGCTCAGATGCCTTTTCCTCAGGAAGCTTTTGAAGATCACACACACAATTCACCTTCACACTAAATGCAGGTCTTTCTTCTATCCTCTCCCCTAGCTTTGTGTCTTAGAACTTATTTAATTACACGCCTGCATTGTTATTATTTTATTAATGTGTCTCTCCCACAAGATGGACCACACATTCAAAAGCTAAGAATCTATATCTGGTTTGTCTACCACTACCTATCCAGCAGCTAGTGTAGTGCCTGGTACCTAACGAGTGCTTAAGAAGTATTTATTAAATAAGGCAACAAATAAACAAAGTATAAATTAGTATAAATCAGGTGGTCTGATGTGATCTATTTTTTGGATGAATATATTTGCTGTGAAGTACAGGCATCATGAAATCATTAAGTAATGATACCTAAAGAGAAACATGCACAGATATTAAGAGAACTTAATGTTAAGAGATATTAAGAGAACTTTAGAGATTTTTTTTTTTTTTTTTTTTTTTGAGACGGAGTCTCGCTCTGTCGCCCAGGCTGGAGTGCAGTGGCGCGATCTCCGCTCACTGCAAGGTCTGCCGCCACCCGGGTTCATGCCATTCTCCTGCCTCAGCCTCCCAAGAAGCTGGGACTACAGGTGCCCGCCACCAAGCCCGGCTAATTTTTTTGTATTTGTAGTAGAGACAGGGTTTCACCATGTTGGCCAGGGTGGTCTGGAATTCCTGACCTCAAGTGATCCACCTACCTCCTCAGCCTCCCAAAGAGCTGGGATTACAGGCGTGAGCCACCACATAAGAGAATATCTATGCATGTGTCTGTTTAGATATCATTACTTAATGATTCCTTAAATCACTGGAACTGCACATAGAAGGCAGAAACTATTAAGTCTAAATTCTATAGGGGAACTACTTAAAAACCATGCTTTCCTTATCTAATTTATATACATGCATTTTAACTTCTGCAGCTGTATTTCTTAGGCCATTGACTGGTATCAGCAGTGTCCCTCTCCCTATGGCTCATTCCACTGCTTGACTTTGGCCTAAAACCAACAGGAATTCTTTACTTAGAGGTAAAAAACTGACAGATTCCCATGGTGACTCCAACCCCGCACTCTTTCCTTTTCTCCTTCAAATTAGGCAGGAAACACTAAAATTTTGGGAACAAGATATGCGTCACACATTGGAAATGTTCAAATCTGTTGATAACATTCAATATACTTTGGCTAAATGCATGAGGAGGCCACATGGTCACAGTCTAATGGAACACAGAACATAACTAATAAACTGAAGCAACATTCCACGTTATCACTTTCAGCTTTGCACAACATATGGAAACAGGCTCACTGCACCGCTTGGTTGTGTCAGAACACTTAAGGGAGGGGGATGCACATTTGGGATTTATTACAGGCACTCACCTAAGAGAAGTGTCCAAAGAAGTGCCTTACAATATCCATGTTACAGAATTCTCACTCTTAAAAGGAGTCTTTTTTAGAAATGTATTTATCTTTCAGATGTTTGAACTATACGTATGGCCCTGACTGTTCTGTATATTTGAAAGCAAAAGGTAGTAGTAACTTATTGAGAAACCTTTTTTTAAAAAGGGGTGGGGGGCAGGGGACAGGGGAGGGGCAACAGGGGAGGGGTCTTGCTATGTTGTCTAGGCTACACTTGAACTCCTGGGCTCAAGTGATCCTCCCGCCCCAGCCTCTGGAGTAGCTAGGACTACAGATGCAAGTAGCTAGAGACTAGAGGTGAATACCATAGTACCTGGCTCGAAAAACTATTTTCAACTAGAAAAAAGGCTGTTCTTTTTCTAAGTATTGCATCAATTGCATCAACTCAGACTACTGAATAGGTTTGTTTTTGTCCTCCATCCTCCCCCAGCAAAGTAACAGACATATTTCCTGTTCCATCCACCTCAACTATTTTGTCCCAGTTATAAGGCTCAAGTTTTGTTGAGTTTCTTGGTAAGTAATTTTTCTCATGCTAAAGAAGAAACATGAAGTAAATTAGGAAAAGCATATAAACCAGAAAAACAATACTAACATCATCAAAATCTCCAAATAATTTACCTAAGAAGTTCAATTTTGGGAGCTTAGCAGTTCAGATAAATGAGAATTACATAGTCAATTTCCATGTTAGCAAGAAAACTTAAAATTCAAAAGACATTGAGTGTTTGAGCCTCTCCTTAAATTCCTCTTTATCGATGATCAAACATTCAATGCATTCCTCACAATAGGTAAGGCAGTGTCAACAACTAAGATACAGTATTCTGGGAAGCCATGCCTTCCCTAGTCTAATTAACAGGGAAACAAAACCTTTCCAAAGATGCAAATCTACCCCTTTATTAAGCTAAACAGACCTATATCAGGTGTCTCAGAAATTATCAACTTGATCACTGGTTCTGGGATTAAAATATTCAAGTCTAAATAAGTGAATTCCATAAAATAAAGGAAATCTAAGAAAAGCACTGTAAGCTGATCACTTTCACAACATGTGGGTTCCAAATAAGGAAAGAAAACCTCCCTAGCCCAAAGTTCTCACTATCTTTAAATAAATAAATATGTCAAAAGAAACCTGACAGCCTTAATGAAACTGTTTTCCGATCAGGTTTTCTAGTGATTAAAATGGTCTCTATACTTTACATCTAGTGATGTAAATACTTCCTATCATTTACAAAAGATGAGCTTGAGAAAGAAGTAGGAAAACTATTCTGTTAAAACTGCCTGGTATCCACATCTGTGAATTATGGGATCTAACGCCATCCTAATGGGCAGTTCCTGTGTTAAATGAAAGAAGTCACTTTTGAGTGCTTACTGGGGACATTTGAAAAAAATATTCTCATCTAGATTAACTGTTCTTTAAAAGCAGATTTTACCAGTTTGGCCAATAATTTAGAATTCCTTCTTCTTACAGAAATGGAGTTGTTTTAATTACTGATGCTCTTGATTACTTTTTATTTTTGCAAAAATTAGAAAAGCACATTTTATCACGAATCCATCACCTGCAACATAATTTATATTTATATTTATTAGAAATTTATATTTATTAGAAATACCTATATTTGTAGGTATTATATTTATTAGAAATACCTATATTTCTAATAAATACCTATATTTCTAATAAATATAGATTATTAATATATATATTTCTAATAGATACAGAAATTGTGTGACAGTTGTGGTAGCTGTCCAAATAATTAGCTTCATCTAAAATTATTTCAGCCCAAACTCAAATCCCAAGAAAAATCATTTTGATGAAATACTTCATTTCATTCACTATAAAGCTAGATGTTTTAGTGTAGTCCTAAGTGACATTTTGTTGCTACAGCAACGAAACTCCGCTACCTGTAGCCATGATTTGTTAAGAATTCCACCAACGAGTAAATTCTGTGCTGTGTATTCATAAAACCAATAGAATGATTCTAAGCAACATAAAAATTAAGGCTTGATTTCCTATTTATGATTTACCCACACACATATTTACAACATATATACACATATGTACTACATACATGTAATTATGACTCTCAGCCCCATCAACAGAAAATACCAAATTTCCATTTTAAAATGGGCACAGAACAAAAGCTGGTTTAGATTTCATTCACTAATTGCTACTTGTTTCCCAAAATTTATCTTAAAAGATAACAGAGACTATCTAGAGATAATTTTCAAAACAATAAAATTTATTATTTATATCCAATCTCATTCCAAGATGGGGGAAAAAATATTCAGAGGTATAGTCTGTCTGTTCCAGTATGTGTGGTTTCCTAAGCAATGAGTTGACTTGGAAAACACCAAGCTAAAGAATAAAGAAAAAATGTGGACATCACCACCTTTATTCACCAAACTACCTTTGTAGGCTACTTACCCTCACTGGGGGGCTCCAGGCTTGCACCCGAGGCTGCTGTCCACCCTGGGAGCTCTGCAGATCTTTTGAGCTACAATTAGCCACAGTGCTGCTCTGAGACCTTAACGCATTTGTGCAGTTGGTCCCACTTCCCCCACCAGGACCAGGTTTCCAAGGCCTCTGCTTGATGCCATCCAGAAGTCTGACCAGCAAGATGTTACTGGGAAGCTCCTCGACACCCGAGCCAACGAGAGTCCTGCACTCGGGACATCTGAGTTCATTTCGAGAACCTACGATCCCCAGCAAACATCGCTTGCAAAACGTATGCTGGCAAGGCAAGACCTTCGCAGAAGCATCAAGGCGCTCTAGACACACAGGACACTCCAAAAGATCCAACAAGGCTGATTCATCCATCTTTATCTACTTTACTGAGAAAAAAGCTTCAGAAATGTTCATAGTAGTGTGCATCCCTTAAAATGACTCATGTAACATCCATTTCAGACTTTGCTCTAGAGTCATGGGGAAAAAGGGGGAAAAGAGAATATGAGTGTTGTTATCTAGGGAAAAAGCTCACAAAGGAGCCAAGAATCAAAAAGTACCCAAAAGTACACTATTCCCTGTCTGAATAGTGTAGCTTTGCTTTGGAATGTGGGTTCCTAAACTCCAAAGTCAACAACTGAAAACAAAATAGGCTTTCTAAACAACGCAAAATTAACCCCTAAAGATATCCAGGGGTTCACTGGGCAAAACAGACACAGAGTATTATACATAATTCCTGCAGAAGGATTTATGAAATGCAATAAGGAATATAATTTCTTAAGCTCTGAAAGGGATATCAGCTGCCTTAATAAAGTCTTCAACTCATAAGAGAAGCTGACAGAGACCATTCAAAGTTTCCTCTACCTGAAATTTACTTTTAAATCCAACTAAATTCCCTTTTTTAAGCCAGTTTAGAGTTTAAGAAACCATGCCTCATGTGATCGCTCGTGGTAAATGATCCCAATATTAAATACATATGTTTCTTCGCTGTTCTTAAAAATAGAACTGTTTAATCTTGCCCAACCAAAAAGAGCTGAAGGTTGACAATTCTAAAAGACACAGATTTGCTTGAAAGCAGCTAAAACAGAAAAGCGCCTTTCAGGGCAGTGGTTGATAACTCTGAAACACATTTCTGAACGGCCTGTCCTAATCCCATTCAGAAAATCTGGCAAAATTACCACCAAAAGAATTCGACAACGGAATGTTGGACTGGAAACTGTGGGCATATGAAAATGAGGCCATTCAGGAAAAAGCAAGCCACTTACTGCGCCGCTCTCCCCCCCACCGCCAAAATAAATGTAAATGTGAATGCCCAAGAGAAAGGGGGTAAAAAGATTTGGCTGGTAGCATTAACAGCTGTTCTTGACAAAGTCGGAGCGGGGGAGTCCCAGGGCTGCGCCCCCGCTCCCACTGCGCCGAGCACAGGTACTCCCGAGCCCGCAGGGAGGCGCGGCGGCCGTTCGCCGCAGACACACCCCGGGGCCAGGTGTCGGCGGCACCCGGCAGGAGCCGGTCCCTGCCTGGGGCTCTCACCCTACAGCCTCCCTCATCTCCGCTCCCCTTTAGGTCAGGCCGGGGACACAAATCCCCCTCACACGACTGCGGGAAGTTTTCAAGGACTTATAAATAAATGCGCAGGCTTAAGTTGCGAAACTCAGCCCCACAGAGTGCCACGGGGAAGCAGCTTTCTAGCCCAGCCAAGATAAGGCGACAGTCCCCAGAGAGACCGCGCCATCCGGGAAGCAGGGGGTGCTGGGCTGCGCCCGGGGAGACCGCGGCACGGAGCCCTGGCAGCTTCCTGCCCGGAGAAGGCAGAGGCCGCGGGCTGCTCCGCTTCCGCAGGTCCTGATTCCCGGCCCAGGGGTACCCGAGGGCTAGGGGAGAGAGAAACCGACCCAGGGCGGGGATGGGGAAACGCCGAGACCACCGCCTTTTCCGCAGCTAGGGGTCCGCCAACGCTGGGTGCCCGCCGGCCCCGCGCCGGCCGCGCGCCCTACCTCGCGCCTCGGCTCCTCCTCTTTGTTCGCGGCCCCGCAGCAGCGGCGGCGGCTGATGCAGATGCGGCCCCGCCGCGCTCGCCGCTCGCAGTGTCTCTGACGCCGCGGCGGCACCGGGAGACTCCTCTCTGCTGCCCCCCTCACGCGCGCACACACACCACGCCGCCGCTGCCGCCTCCCACTTTCCCAGCCAAGGAGGGCGGAGGAAGAGGAGGAGGCCGGGCCGCAGCCGGCGCCCGGGGCGCAAGGGGGCGGCCCCGCGCCACAGCGCCTTCCCCCGGAGCGGGCGCGGCACCTCCCGGAGCCGCCCGCCGCGGCGCCGGCCTCCCGCGCTGAGGTGACCAGCGCCCCGTACCCCGCCGGAGCCCGGGGGCGGGATGGGTGCGGCAGCCTGAGGGGGCGCTGCGAGAGCGGAGAGACTGGGGAGCGGGGCCCTCAGGGGGCAACGAGGGGAAGGCTCGGGGACGGACGCCGTCTCCCACAGGAGAACGCGCCTGAAAAATGGAGCCACCGGAGTGGGAGGCGGCGGGAGTGGAGGCTGAGGGAAGCAGGAAGGAGCCCCGGGGCAGAGTCCCGCCGCGTCCTCCTCCCCCCGGCACGGCTGGGCGCCCGGGACGGACTCTTCCTCCCCGGGCTGGGAGAGTCGCGGCGCGGGAGGGGCTGGGTCCGCGGAGGCGGCGGGAGCAGTCCTGGCGGGAACCGATCCCGCTGCACTTTGCGTCTGGTTGCCCACCCTGGACACTTACTTGGTAGAGTCGGTGCGAAGTGTTGCCCCTTGGGGCCGAGAGCGGCGTGGTGAATCGATGAGGACAGTGCCGCGTCCACCTGCCCGCACCCAGCCATCAGTCACCCCAGGACCGAAACTGGAGCCAGCCTGGAGGACCGCTGACCCCAAAGCCCAAGGCTAGGAAAAAGGTAGTATGGGCTTCCAACCCAGCCGCGGGGGCTCTGTTATCCCTGTCCTAAGTGGGGAGAATTGAGTCTGACCTCAGGTGGGCTGGCACCGTAAAGCACGCTGAGAGACGCCTCTTTTATCTGAGCCTGGGCGGCTGCCATCATCGTCGCAGTAATCTTTGTTTTGGTTGCCCCAGGCACACACCTGTAAACCGAAGTGGAGTTTTGAAAAACATCTTGTCCATAGGTTTTGAGGTTTTTCCGTCTCGATTTAGTGGAGAAACAAGTTAAAATTTTGTCACTGATCTAAAGTAGACATTATTGTATTTGCATTTACCATCAATTTACAAAAAGTTATCCCAAATACCCTTCCTCAAAGGTGGGCAGAAACTAGATGGTTATAAGAAGAAAGGGTTACAATAGATGCAAGAAATCTCTGCCCGGCCACCAACTAGGTTTATGATTTAGAGAGGAGTCTCAGTTTATCCTCTAGTCTCCAGCTAGGGCCACAGCTGAACCATTCAAGACATAAGGATCACATAAGCATGAAAAAATTATAACAGCTAACAGTGATCACTCACTGTACACCAGGCACTGTGCTGAACATTTTTCATGCATCAGTTCAATTCTCACAGCAACCCTCTATGTCATCTTTTCTCAGCCTTGTTCTAAATAGATTCATATGCTGAGAGTCATAATGTATGAACACCAAAAATCATAGCCCACTTCCCCTTCCATTAGAAGTGAGCAAATGCACGGGTATTTGGGCATTTGAGCTGAGAAAGACTACGGAAGGAATGAATGGAATGGAGAATTTCTAGTCCAGTTTGCAAACTGAAAGTGACTACTTAGTTCTGCATGTGGAGCTGGGCAGATGGATGAAGATGAGGCTGACCAGAAGATTACAGTCAATAAACAGATAAGGATTCTTTGCAGTTATTAGAACTGAAGCTCAAATGGGTTCATTTTCCCCTGGTCACACAGTAGGTAATGTTGAACCAAGACTCGGTCCCAGCTCTCTGGATTCCAAGTCCAGTTCTCTTTCCACCATTCCAAGGCCCTGTCTTTTGCACATCACCGTCATATCCCCACCCCAGGCAAAGCGAAGCACAGTGTGTCTCTTCCCAAGGGAAAGAAGAAACTGTTAATCATGTAATTACTCGAAAGCAAGGGAAAATTTTTATTGTATTCTTATTTTGGTTTGGTGTTTGATTTTAGAGAGAGCAGCACACAAGGTCGTAGGTAGAATTGTGCAGCTCTTGAAACTCCTGGCAAAAAAAAAAATCAATAATTACACCCATTTTCTTTGTTTTGTTTTCTTTTTTTGTTTGTTTTTTTTGTTTTTGTTTTTTTTGAGACGGAGTTTCACTCTTGTTGCCCAGGCTGGAGTGCAATGGCACGATATCGGCTTACCACAACCTCCGCCTCCCAGGCTCAAGCGATTCTCCCACCTCAGCCTCCGGAGTAACTGGGATTACAGGCACCCACCACCATGCCTGGCTAATTTTGTATTTTTAGTAGAGACAGGGCTTCTCTATGTTGGTCAGGCTGGCCTCAAACTCCCAATCTCAGGTGATCTGTCCACCTCAGCCTCCCAAAGTGCTGGGATTACAGGCGTGAGCCACCGTGCCTGGCCACACCCATTTTCAAAGAACTGAAGACGATGTGTCCCAAGACAGCAGTGATCAAAGAATCTGGCATACATCTCATGAATATTATCCAGGATGTGGCTGTACTTCTTTTAATGCCCCAGTGCATGTTATATAGTTTTTAGAACACAACACTTTTGTTAGCTTTAGTTACTCCAGCTGTAAAATGAAGTCTTAGGCAAGTTACTTTAACCTCCTGAGCCATTTTCTGTCAAATGGTGAAAAAAAAATCAGAGTGTTGTGGGACGACTAGATGAGACTACATGCTGGTTCTTTGTAATCTGTACATCTCTATTAAAGTCAGATAGCATCATTATCATAATCTGCCAAGAATCACCCAAGCAGAGTTATTCTGGGCAAAGTCCTTTCTTCCCAGGGTCTTAAAAAAGTTTGGGACAGGCCAGGCATGGTCGCTCACACCTGTAATCCCAGCACCTTGGGAGGCTGAGGCAGGTGGATCACCTGAGGTCAGGAGTTCAAGACCAGCCTGGCCAACGTGGTGAAAACCTGTCTCTAGTAAGAATACAAAAAAAAAAGAAAAATAGCTGAGCATTGTGGCGGGCACCTGTAATCGCAGCTACTTGGGAGGCTGAGGCAGGAGAATTGCTTGAACCTGGGAGGTGGAGGTTGCAGTGAGCCAAGACTGCACCACTGCACTCCAGCCTGGGTGACAGAGTGAGACTCTGTCTCAAATAAATAAGTTTGGTATAATGCTAGTAATTGCAAAGTCCTGTCAATACTATAGGGAAAGGGGCAGTTGGGGAAGAGAAGCATGTTCATCTTTTCACATCTGGGAACTAAACATGAAGGAAGGGATATAAGCATGTTGTGCTTAAGATCCCTGTGACTTTGAGTAGAACCATGAAAAACATAAATACACCCTGTGACATAATAATGATAGCTTGGGTTTACACGGTTCTTATCCTCCCAAGACTTCAAAGGACTTTCATATATATTATCTCATCTGTCTTCTCAACATCCCTCAGAAGCGGTAAAGACAGACATGATTATTTCCATGTAGATGGGAAAAAACAAGATGTAGAGAAATTATTGCTCTAAGTGGTGACAAAAATCAGGCACTTAAATATCCAGTCCAGAGCACTCTTTGGTAAACTTTGGTGCTGTGCTTTCACACGGATATATATATATACACACATGTGTCTGATTATCATTTTCCTTCAAACCTTGTTTCTTCTCCAGTTGCCATGATATTGGTAAATGATAGCACTCTTCATTCAGTTGTTCAAACTAGAAACCTAGGGATCGTCTTTGATTTCCCTTTTCCTCTCCATCAGTTCTGCTAGCTTCTCCCAAAATATGTTTCAATTTATACCCACTTTCCTTTGCCTCCAGTGCAAGTTTATTTAAGCCACCATCACACTTTGTCTCTGGCCCTCCTAAACCAGTCTCTCTGTTTCCACTCTTGTCCCCATAATCTTGCCCAGAATATAGTAACATTCAGAGTGAACAACAAAAAATGCATAACATACCAGTTACTACGTTGCTCCAAACTCATCAATTTCTTCCCATCATGCCTGAAATTTAAAGTCAAATATAGTCTTTGTCTTACAAGACTCACTGTCACTTGGACCCTGCACCACTGCATCTCAGCATAGTACTCTATCTTCTTTGCAGCACTTTTTGCTGTCTAATTTTTTGATTCCTTATTTATTGCCTATCTTCTTTACCTGAATATAAGTTCCCTGAAGGCAGTGACTGGGTCTGTCTTCTTTACCATTATGTCCTTCACAGCCAACACACAGTGATTCCAGTGACTAATTCTCAAATAAGGAGTTAATCAAGTATACAGTTATATTTCTTGCTATCCTAAAACTACATAGATACTTAGTACCTCACTGCCCTACAGATGGGAAATCAGGCAGGCAATGTTCCAAGTTCCATTGAGAGTCTTTCTTATAATCTGTCAATCAGTGAGTTTGATGTAGAAGATGAGGACACATGATTCTTGATTCTTCCTCTTATATTTCACAGTTAAGCTACAGAAACAGCTAAACACCAGCTCTGTAACACAGAACATAAACGCAATGCCAGTTTATCTTTATTCAAGGTCTTAGTTAATGACGTCACCATCCCTTTAGTTCCCCAGGCAAGCAAGAAAATGCAGATTATCTTCAGCTTCCCCTTCTCCCCATGATCCCTCCCCCTCCTACCGTCCAGATGGATGATCCAGAGAGCATCAGAAGTGCTTCTTACATCTCTCTTTTCCTCCCAATCCTTATTTCAGTCCTGCCTATCTCCTACTTGGACAATAAGTACCTGCTTCCATTTCTCTCTAGTGTACCGGATTATGGAGAGAGCTTTGGAGTCAAAGTTTCTACCACCTATTAACTGGGTGACCTTGGGCAAGTTTCCAATCTTCTGTGCCTGAGTTCTGCCTGTAAAATGGGCGTAACAATACTACCTACCTTAGAGTTTTTGTGGTGATTTTATATACGTTAATAAAAATGAAATGTTTAAAACTATGCCTGACACATGGTAAGTACTTAAATAATGACAGTATTATTTTTATAGATCCACTACCTAACTGAATGACTTGGCAAATTTCTTTAATTTTTTTGAGTTTCAACTTCCTAGTCTATACAAATGGATATAATATTATATACTTCGAAAGCCTGATGTAAAAAAACTAGGGACAAAATGAAAAACCTAGTATAGCACCTTCCTGGCACATAGTAGGGACCCAATAAAATGTTTGTTTCTTGCCTTTTTGACTATGTATCTGTCTGCATCTGTTTCCATATAATTAGGAAGTGGATTGGATTCTATCTAAGGTTCCTTCCAGCATT